TGAGCCGCTTCGGCAGTGCTCAGCCACGGGATTTTATGATACGTGCACCGACGTTATACTTTCTTTCTGGCTAAATGGAACCTCCACTGCTCACTGGCCTTCCTGTAATCTATAACAGCTACCTAATCATTACAGAAGCATATATAAGATAAATGCTTAATAAAATGTTGGTGATAATGGAGAAAAAACAAAAACAAAAAACAAAAGCCTCAATTCTGTTAAAAAGATTCATAAAGTGCTATAAAGAGCAAATAAAATATATGCTGAACACAAATTATTTCAAATATATCCACCCAACGACAAGGAAAGTGAAGTTAAACACTGCTGTGTCTCCGCTGGGAAGCTGGAGTCAGTATTTCAACTTACCGGGGATTCTCTTATAGAACGGACAGGTTCTTCTCGCTTCCCTGGCACCAGACGACTCTGAAATGCCCCTGCTCCCTCTCTGTAGCCTGCCAAGAGTCCGGCTTACAAAGGCTTTGCTTTGGTTTAAACTGACTGCTCCCACTTCTGGCCTCTGAGGTGCTCCTTCCCATGATGAACTTGACTTTTTATGTCTCTTCCTTTGACGTTGTGTCCTCTCTTGGGACAGTTCTGTAGAGTGTTGACTCTCATTTAAATTCCCTGAATCTAATTCTAAGTCACTTAGGGAGTTTTCCGCTTTTCTCTTGCGCGGCTGGCGCCTCTTGTCCTTAGGACTCACACCTGGACTGGCATTTGGCCCACCTACCGCACTTGCCCTCGGGGACGGCTCTGCTTGTTTTTTGGGTGGTAATCCAAAAAACACACCTATGTCCATCTGCTTCATTGCCTTCTTGGAAGGCTGACTGGCATTGCACTTGGGACTGGAAGGCAAAGTGCTCAAAGATTTGGCGAGAGGCGCACTAGAAGGCTTTTCTCCCTTTCTGCAGGTACAGGCTGAGCTAGCGATGGTAGCACCCAAGCCCTTACTCCCTAACCCTCTTATTTGACTTTGGGTCGGATGCAAAGGCAGGTGTTCTCCTCCCTCCTTTTCAGGCGGCTTTGACATGGCACTTGTACGGAATGGCAGAGAGAACTGACTGCCAACAGCTGACGTTTCACTTTTCTGTGTCTGATGGCTTGAACCAAGTGAGTGAAATTTGCGTGGCTCACCAGGTTTTGCTTTAGTGGTTTGATCATCAGAAGCAGCACGCCCCGCTGTTAATGAAGGTGAAAACAAGAGAAAGCCTGTGTCTGTGTGAGGTGGGGCACCTTGTGGGGGAAGCTGAAAAGAACCACTTATAGCACTGCCTTCACAGAAGCCACTGAACTCAGCCTGAGTCAGCAGGCTTTTCGCCAGCGGGCAGGCTCCTTCTCGCTCCTTCGGGAAGGGATCAAGAAGTGTTTCAAATATGGCAGAGCCATCCTCTTCCAGGCAACTGTCCTTAGAGCTCTGAGTAGAGAACAGCTCCTGCTGGGAATCACCCAGCTCTCCATTCAAGTCGTAAGTCTCCTCATCACTCTGCAGCGGGGAGTAAGAGATCTCACAGCTGCTGCTGTCGTCTTCTGGCGATGGTGCCCTCGTACTCTGGGAGCTGCTTTTACCGGTTAATGCGTCCGCTGAAAGAGGCAAGCCATCTCCCACAAGCTTGTCCTTTTTAACAAACCCTGCACGCTGTGGAGCCAGGGACACACGAGGGCCCGAGGAAGGGGGAATCTTTCTGTCGGTCTCGGCTGGAAGCTGGGATGTTTTTAGACACTGTACCATCAACGAAGAATCCTCTAAAACTTTCCTTAAATTATCCGTGTTCAGATGCACAGGCCATTTTTCCTCGGGGTTACAGGAAGGGTCTGGCTTTGCTGCAGGAAAATGCCCAGCCAGTGTGTGTGACTGGCTGCTGAGGGGCGCTGAGACCTGTGATGGGCTGCTGAGAGGTTCGTTGCTAGCCCTACTCTGGGCAAGCAGGAGGTGAGTATATTTCTTATAATGAGAAGGAATTGTGCAGGTACACCAAAGACCCTCGGGACACTCTGAAAACAGTTTAAAAAAGAAAAAAAAAGATCATTTTACACATAAACTTTGACAGCACTAACAAAGTTACCTCTAAGGACAAACACCATGGGTCACAATTTTATTTTGTTTTTGAGACAGTTTCTCTGTATAGCCCCAGCTTTCCTGGAACTCTGTAGACCAGGCTGGCTGCGAACTCACAGAGATCCACCTGCCTTTGCCTCCCAAGTGCTGGGATAAAACGCATGTGCCACCACCCAGCCCACTGTGGGTAGCCTTTAAGAACTATGGCAATAGCTATGGCTAAGTGCATGACAGCTGGTGCCGAGAAAAACATTTAAACACCAAAGGTTAGTACAACATAGTTTTACAATGTACTATTTATTACATTTAAACCAAATACTTTTAGATTACTTTTCAAATAGTCTCTTCACGAGAAAATAATTTTAGATAACTTAAAAAAACAGTCATAACTCATTCTCCATATAGTTCAAGTAAATTTCCTACATGTTAAATATGACATTTATCTTAAAATATAATAACATGGCATCACTTCTGTTGCTGGCACATATTTAAGAGAATCTTAGTCATCTCAGACTATCTTCTAGTTCCTCTTCCGGTTACTAACACCCATTATGAATACAGCATACCCATATTTAGAAACTAAATGTGTTTATAATTTTTATCTAACTCTAAAATAGGATAACAAATTGGCCCGGTTATTTATCTTATAGGAGTCCTCATCCATAAAATGTTAATGTCATCTACCTTATGCGGTTCTTGTAAGAGTCAAGTAAGAGAAAGCAGAGTGGCAATGGCTCCCGCAAACTTCAGAGAACGTTTATGGAAAGTAACTGAGAAGTTAGGATGATGGCTCAGTCAATAAAGAGCCTGCGGCACACACAAAGGCCTGGGTTCACATTACTAGCCCTTAAATAAACACGCCAGGCACGGTTGGACATTCTTATCTCCCAGCAGTGGGGAGACAGCAGCAGGAGGACCCCTGGGGCTTCTTACCTGTGTCAGAGATTGGTGGAGAATCCAAACACTCAAAAACATGCCATTGGGGTGTCTGACCTAGCAAGGAGGAAAAGGGCATCTGACAGTTTGGGCAGTATCCATCGTAAACTGGGCGTACCCTTGGGGACACTTGTTTCTTTTTGTGTGTTCTTCGGCTCTTTCTTGGAGTGGTCTCTTTGCTTTCAGACTGCGGAACCTCATCTCCAGCACTAGAATTCTGACTGCCACCTACAGAAATTGGACAGTCCGTTTCTTCAAGGCATACGCCCAGGGCCTTTTGGTTGTCTTTATCGTCTGTGGTTCTTCTTTTGTTTCCTTTTCGTTTTGATTGGTCTTTTCCATCTGTTGCCTTTCCAACAGATTCTGGGATATTTTGAGAACAATTATTTGGATGTGCTGGTTTTGGTTTTCGTTTAGATTTATATTCCCAGATGTCTTCCTCCCAAAGTGTGTCTTCTAACATGGCAAATGATTTTATGAGTATTTGAGTCTTTAGTAAATTCAGAGTCCTTTCCTTGCTACAAGTTTTAACAGGAACAAATAAACCAAAAGCCAACTAACTTGGTGGGACTCTAAACCTTTGGGGATGATTGATACAGGCACACAACACACTTAGCACCCGCTGCTCCATTATACCACAATAAATTAAGATGCCCTACCACAGGCTAATGTCTGTATCGTTTTTCTTTACATTGCGACGCTGTTTCATTCAAGCGATTTTTTTTCTTTTCCAGGACATGGTTCATAAAAATAAGAATCAATAAGAATCAATAATGCCTTGAAAATTAAGCATGGTTGAGAAGTATAGGCCCAACAACTTTAAGACAGGCTCCATATAACTGTACTGAAGCTATCCTGGCTCTCGTTCACGTGGGCAAGCAAGCGCCCACTCACAAGTCGGGTCACAGTTCCTTGTCAACCGGGAGCTTCAGGTCACTATGGAAACAAGCCACACCATAATCAAAGAGGTGTGTTGGTCACAAAACTGCCCCTATTCGTGACTCATGGAGATCCGATCAGCTTCAGTTTCCCGGGTGGCTCCATTTCTCCTCCACCATAGGACCAAACCCTGCACAGGGAACAAAGTTCAAACGTGTGAGATTGTACTTAGGCCACACTGCACTCGAGACCGCAGGGGCTGTAACCAGTCCCCTCTCCAGACGTCTAAAGAGGTCAAGGACAAAAAAGGCCCACAGGCTCCTCTGCACCCTCTTCCTTTGGATCCGGATGGGGGAAGGCCAAGGGAGGGGGTCAGAAATGACTCTCAGGTTAGGCACTGACAGCTCTCAAAGCGCGGTGCCCTCTGCAGCCCGGCGGCTCGCACTGGCATCCCCGTGGGTGCACCTGGGCTGGCAGCCCGGGACCAGCTGCAGTTGCCTCTCCGCGCCGCCTCCCCCGCTGCGGGACATGCCATTCGCTCCGGCACTTTCAGCACCGCCAGAGTGACAGGATACTCTTGTTGTTATTAACACAAAACCACTGGCCTCACTCCCTACAATAACGACCCTTCTCCTTTGAGGATTCCTTCGCCCCCTTTACCTTTTAGCTCTTTCTTGGCGGGAACTGCCGTGCCGAATCGGCTGATCGAGGTGGAACAGTGGAACAACTGAGGAGTTTTTGGGTTTGTTTTTCTCAAGTCGGGTCTTTTTAACTTGGATTTTTATTTATGTTGGGAACCCTGCCGGGCTTCAAAGGCAATGGGTTCTCCAGCCCCTCTAGGGCGCGACCTCAGCGGTCTTTCCCGTGTCGAATCTGGCGCTCCGAACGTCCAGGCTTCGCGGCGGCGGCCCGGGACCTGGAAGGGGCGGGGTGGGCCGCGCAGGAGTTTGGTTACGCGCTGGGGAAGCACGGCCCTTTGGCCCCTGGCGTCAGAACGAAGGCTTAGGGTGGACAGAAACGTGGGTGGCGCAGATCGGGGCGGGCTGGGCACCGCTCAGAGGCGGGAGGGTGGCGGCGCGTCTGTCCGAGCCGCGCCCTCGATCCCGGAGACCTCGGCTGCTCGCCCAACATGGCGGCCCCCGCCGCGCGCAGTGCGAGCCTCTCGGGCCTGCTGCCCGCGCAGACCTCGCTCGAGTACGCCCTGCTGGACGCCGTCACCCAGCAGGAAAAGGACGAACTGATCTACCAGTATCTGCAGAAGGTGGACGGCTGGGAGCAGGACCTAGCGGTGCCCGAGTTTCCGGAAGGTGAGGAGCTGGCGTCGGGGACGGGGCTCCTCTCGGGTCCTCCCCTTACTCGGTGTGGGGGGACGGCGCCCTTCCCGCCTGCTGGCAGGGGCGCTGGTCCCGGCGATTCGCCCACGTCCCTGAGGAGCTCCAGACTGGCGACGGGCGGGGGCGGAGGGTGCTCTAGAGGGCGAGGACCTGTGTTCGCATCTCTGCCTGGCCTGCCGTCCATGACCTCAGGGCCCCATGGAGGTTGAGTGGCCTCAGTCTCTAGTGACCGGGGTACCCGGACCACCCTGTCCCTTCGTCTCTTATCCCAGCTTCACCGCCTCTCATTCCCGTCGATGTTTATTGATCACTTCTACGTGCAACACAGACGGTTTTAAGCATCCCGGGAGAGAGTTTTCCTAAGGCTCGGTACAAACTCCAGGGCGCTCTTATGTGTCTTGCCTTACAGTTAAGGAAACTGAAGCCAGGAGGAGTAGGGCGCTTGCCCATCTGATAACACTAGAGTCCAACTACGTTCTACAGACCTCAGAGCTGATGCTTTTTCTAGCCCTGCCGCGCGCCCTTCCACTTTCAAAGCGGTAGTGGACCTACTGAGTTTTAAAAACTGGAGTCCGTTTTAGTTCAGCAGCCAGGTTTGAATCCTAGCTGTGGGAGCTGTCGGAACACGAGGAAATAGATACTCCCAGCAGTGTAGTTTAAACAAAATGCTGCCTTACCTTCGCTTCGGAGTGTCATCGTTTAGCTTACTGGTGTTGGCATGTGTCCTGGTGGGACACTGAAACCGCCTGCATAGTTAATTGGTCACTTGTGGCAGGGTTCACGTCCCTCCGGATGTATCAGTACCTCTTCCATCCCACAACAGTCTTGAATGTCAGTGTCTTTCTTACCCTTTTGCACTTGACTGGGGGCGGGGGGAGTTGCCACCTTCCCCCCTTTATTATTATAGTGGATTTAAAATAGTGTGGAATTGAAAAAACATGGCCGTGTAGAGGTTTATCCCGTCAGAGAAACTTCAAAATAACAAATACATGTATATGGATACAGGTGTATCCATATCGCCTGAAAACTTTGTTAATAAAGCCCGGAGGATACACACTGTTACAAACCAGCAGGCCATCATCGGCTAGACTTCTGGGAGAACGTTTCAGTTTGCTTTACTACTATGATATTTGACCGCTGTGACTCAAGGCATACTCAGGAGAAAATAATCGGACTTTGTTTTCCGGATAGTCTGATAGTATGCTGGACCCGACTATTAAGGACAGCACGCTAAAAATGCACGAAGCAGTTGTAGCTCAGTGATAACAGAGAGAGTACCCTGGCCTCAGAAGCTGCCACCTGCAGTCTGATGGGCGGGTCCAGGCGGACCTGAACACTAAGCCCCTGTTCCTTCTTCTTTAGCCTTCTGCTTTTGAACACATTACTTGGCTTCTCCAGGTCTTGATTTGTTTTCACTTGTAAAGTGGAGCAAATTTTTACTTACAGAATTATTATGTGGAGGGAATTCAGGCAAATTCTTGGGTAACAAGGAGACTTACTAAGTTGGTCATTCATTGTATTCGTTGTAATCATTGCTGCTGAAAATACATTATTATATCTGTGAACACCTAGCACAGTAACTTCAATGTGATTACACTCTCTGTGTCCTCAATAAGTCACTTTTAACAATTTATAGAGACAGAATCTTAAATTTCTTGCATGTGGGATGTGAAATACACGTTAATTAGTTGGTTTAATTAATAGTTTTGTGTCATCGATTAGGTATATAATACTTATAAGGAGAAATAATTAAGTGTTTACTGAACTCTGAGACATTTAAAGTATTTGGTGGAAATACTAATTTGATTTGAGATAATCTTTTCTAGAATTTTGTTATAATGGAATAACGTTCCTGTTATTGGCCGCCCTCCTTGATACCGTAGTCTCCGTTTATGTCTGGTTTCAGGAACCCTATAGTTAATCACCTCAAAATATCAAATGAAAAGTTTCCTAAAAGAACTCTTCCTAAGTTGTAAGTCCTAAGTTGTAAGTTGTGCATTGTTCTAAGTAGCATGGTGACACTGCTCTCCTGTGTACGTCTTCTGTCTGTCATGACTCGCCGACCCTGTCTACATCTCAGCGTTGTGTGTGCTGCTCCTCACCGTGAGCCATTCAGTCATTGTCTTGGTTTTCAGATCAGTGCTTGTGCTCAGATAATCTTACTCCACTTCATGATGGCTCCAGAAATTCAGGAGTAATGATGGTTGTTGGCTGTGCCACAAAGAAACCATGAGGTTCCTCCTGTAAATGAGAAGGTCACTTTCCAGGCTCTGTACAGAACAGCCCTGTGCTGTGTTTCTGAGATCTGTAGCGAGAGTGAATGCTAACCCATCAGATTGTGAACAAGGAAAAGGAACTGCATAGTTTTGCCGCCGCGCCTTGAACTGCGAAGGTGGCTAAGTAAGACAGCACGTAAAGATGCAAGAAGGCCACTCAGGCTCAGTACCCTCGGAAAGGACCAGAGGGGACTCCTGTGTCTGTGTTTCCTATCCAACTATGGCTTTTACTTTCTTTAAACTATTTATGTCTACTTCAAGCTATAATCCATGCTTTAATAGCTTTGTTTATTTACTTATAAGCAATAAATGTTCTTGTTTTCTTAAATGAGTTAAATAAGGATGTTATACCTTTTAATTTAACAAAATCTTCATACTAAAGGGTTAAAATTTTGAGTCATTGTCAACTAATTATAAATTCTGTATTAAAAAACTATACAGTTTAAGTTGCTATTTTTCTTTAAAGGGAAGGTAGCGTGATCTTCATTAGTGTTAATGTTTCTTCTAACTTTGCATTTAAAATGTTTTATTTTATACTGAGGGTTCCATCCAACTCTAGAACACTGTAACTTCTCTTCTGTAAGATTATTTTAAGCACTCTATGTTTACCCTTGCATGCATCCTGATCTTTTCCATGTCTGCTTTTTAACTTGATCTTGTTTTCAGTATCACTTTTATATTTAATTATGCATGCAGTTAGATTTTTAAAATAATTTTTATTTCCTCATATTTTTGATTGACTATGTTGATTTTATTCACTTCTCCTAGACTATTCCACTATTTCTGAAAGAATTTAGTACTTTTTTTTGTTTTTTACTACGCTTGCAGTTGTCTCATAACAGCGGCTTTTTGTTCTTAGCCTGCTACCATCCCTCCTCCTGCTTCCTCCCTCTGAGCCTTTAATCTCCACATGAGCTTTTTCATTAAATCGTACATACCTGGTTACAATCATGAAGACATTCTCTTGTTTAGTAATAGAAAAGAGGCCCAGGTATAAACAGAATAATAACTCAGGTCCCACAGGCTTTAGTGCTATCATCCCCTAAAGTGTGTGACTACTTACACTCATCTTGGAGAAAAGGTTCTCATTTTGATGGGCACTGTAGGTCAATTATCCCTTGTTCTTTCTTGTTTTCTTCAGTGGTATTTTGTGTTTTGTAAATCCCAGGGTTAGAGTGGCTGAACACAGAAGAGCCTCTCTCCATTCACCAGGACCTGTGTGGGAAAGTGGTTGTCCTCGATTTCTTCACGTATTGCTGCATTAACTGTATCCACCTGCTGCCTGATCTCCACGCCCTGGAGCGCAAGTTCTCTGATACAGGTATCTGCTTCTGATTGCTTACTCACAGACTGTTGTACTTACGCTCCGCTCCTTTCCTCCGAGGACTGTGGTGCCTGTTTCTAGGCGTAGTCCTAACCTGTGAGCAAGAAGACTCTGTTTCCTGTGCATTTTAATTTTAAGATAAAGTCTCACTGTGTAGCCCAGGCTGTCAAGTTGGCCCTCCATTTCTAGAGCCCCTGATTTGCCTCCCAGCTGCCACTAGCCTGGCTGTGCCTGGTTTTCATGGGCTTCTTCATGAGCATGGGTTAAACTTAGTGGTAACAATTTGCTTAATTGAGAATCAGAATTTAGAATTCAGGTTTTGTCTGAGGGTTTGTGCCTAATTTGCTTTTTTCATGATGAGATATTTAGAAAAGTCTTTTTCTATCCCAGGCTTAACTAAATTTGCTCTCTGAGAAAAGTGAAACATCTGGCCCCAGAGTGTTGCTCCTCTCAGTGTGATGGTGCAAAGGTTTAAACTACGTCAGAGGAAACGCCGCTAGGTGAGGCCAGGCCTCTGACATGAAGCTCAGTGGAGGGCAGAGCACAGCAGATCCTTTTCCTTTGACCTTGCGTCTTTGAAAGATGATTTGTTGCAGTTAATATTTTCCAAAGCACACTGGGAAATCCTCTTATAGCATTAAAGCTTCTGGAGGTAGGAAGCATTGTGCTTAGAGTTTGCTGTCCAAGTTGGAAAATAATCAGGTTTTGATTTTTTGTTGACAACATGAATAAAATTAATAAAATCGTTTCATGTAGTTAAGTTTAAATGCATTGGTAAGCTTGGCATCTACATGAACAAGTTGGGGCCGCTGGTCCTGTGAACAGATGTTGGCCTGGACCATGTGTATGCACAAATGCCAGATATCTTAGAATGTAGTCAAACAAGACCACTGACAAAATCTAAAAATACAAATAAAGATTTAGATGCTTTTAGCTGTAATATATTCTATTTTTACAATACTAGCTGAAAGATTTATAAATAATTAAATCATCAAAAATTGATTTTATAGATTTAAGAACTGTGCTTTATTATACCCTGGGTAGTTTGTGCCTGTGTCTCCTGTTCAAGCCAGCACATTTATTGAGCATGCTTCATGAGTGTTTTTAGGAAATGTGGAACAAATCTGAATAAGGAAGCATTAAGATGGCAAAATCCATTATTGTATAAAATTAATGTATGTAAAATTTTAAATTTTAATTACTTTAATATTTTGCATACCAATTCCACTCCCTTCCCTCCTCCCATCCTCTCCACTTTCCACCCCACCTTCCCCCTTATCCACTTCTCAAAGAGGGTAAGGCACATGGCTTTGGGGAAGGTCCAAGGCCCTCCCTACTATATCCATCCAAAGAGAATAGGTTCCCAAAAAGCCAGTGCAAGCAGTAGGGGTAAATCCTGGTGCTGCTGCCAGTGGCCCCACAGTCTGCCCAGCTACACAGCTGTCACCATGTATGCAAATGTTTATGGACCTCTTTCCTGAAAGAGCAGTAACTCACTTGCCTGTGGTCTGTGGAAAGGCTTCCTGGAGAAAGAGGACGACCTGAACTATAAGCGGTATGCATGCTGACAGTGGGCAGCAGGATGTACCTAGCTGAGAAGGGTCAGGTGAGCAGCCCAGATGCCACAAACAGTAAGGTTCTTGGTCTAAGAGCAGGTTCAGTGTGGCAGGGTCTGTGATAAAAATAGAGGCAAGGGCCGGGGAGCTGGCTCAGTGGTTCAAAAAGCACTGGCTTCTCTTTCAGAGATAGTGCGTTCAGTTCGCAGCAACCAAATGGTGACTCACAAACATCTCTAATAGATTCTGATGTCCTTTTCTGGCATACAGACAGAAGACTCATACATAAATAAATAAATATTGAAAAGATATAAATAAAATAACACAAAGACTGATAAGTGAAGGCCATGTTGTGAAGTTCTTTTTTGGGTGTTCCTAATAATTCAGGCTGTCTTCTTCCAGTGAGGATGTGGCCGTGTTGAAGGTTGTTTTTTATTTGTTAGTTTGTTTTAATAGAAGGAGTCATAATATTAAATTTTAGAACATCTCTATATACTATGATAAGAATATGAATGTTGGGCTGGAGAGATGGCTCAGATGCTTTTCCCGTCCTGAGTTCAATTCCCGGCAACCACATAGTGGCTCACAACCATCTATAATGAGATCTGATGCCCTCCTCTGGTATGCAGGCATACATATATTGACAGAACACTGTATAAGTAAATAAAACTTTTTAAAAAAGAATCTCAATGCTGACCATTTCCCTATCTAAGGTCACCCATAACTGGTTGAGACCATACCCAGAACAAATTCAGTGACCTCCTCTCAAGGTCTGTGTCCTCTGCCAGTTGATGTGGAAATATTTTTTGTTTTGTTTTTTTTTAACAGCACATATATACATATAAATAAACCTCTGAAAAGTGAAATGCCTTGTATGTAGAAAGAATTCTAGAAAGATAACGAAGTAAGAAGCAACAAAATGTTCTTGTGTAGACAATTGTACAGATAGAGTCTGTCTAGGGCAGAATGCTACTAAAGGCAGAGCTGCTGTATATTTTCAGCAAATGCCACAAGACAAATACTAATCAAAAAAAGATGAGGAAGAATGGTCTGTCTAAAGAAAATATAAACCACAGAAACTATTCGTTTAAAGACCAAATGACGGGTCTATGAGATTCTCCAAAACAAATGTTAAAGATGCTTAAAGAACAGGCGAAAGTGTAGAAAAGATGAATGCGCACTTGAGAAAAAAGAAATAGCAGTAAAAAGATAGGGAACCTTTAAAAAGGCACAGGGAAAGCTCTGAAGCCGGTACCAACTGACGTGAGTATTTAGAGGCAGAGCTTAAAGCTAAGGCAGCAGAAGTTGTTGAGTATTTTATAAGATGTCTGAAAGGATTAAAGCCTGGAGGACATGTACAGTGCCGAGTAGATCACAGACTCGGTAGCAGGAACTTTTAGAGAAGTAATGGCCGACAACTGCCCTAATTTTGTGGAAGACATGAATATAAATGTCCAAGAGGTTTACTGAACTCATGAGTGGGATGGACTCAGAGAGTCACACCAAGACCAGAGTCAGTGCTGAGAGGGAGGACAGAGAAGCCAGCAGCAGGAGAAAGCCCCTCATTAGGTTCAGAGAGCTGGGAGAGTCGGCAGCCTCCTAGATGGTTGGTTTTTGATGAGATGGAGGCTGGAGGCAATGGACCAGTGTGTTCTAATTCCTAAAGAGAAAGGCTGTTGTGCAACTGCAAGTTCTGCTCTCAGGTGGGAGAGAAAGGAAGACATCTATCTCCGCAGGCAGAAGGTGAGAGGCCGTCATTAGACGAGAAGTCAGATACTCTTTTGAAGCCTGAGATGAAACAGGTGTAAGCAGATACATGGTGATTCTAAAAACTACATTATTGTAAGAATAATGTTGTAGCTTGAGTTCTGCAAGACTTGGTAGACAAATATTACAATAAAAATTTCTCTAAAAAGTTATTGACAGATTTGAGGGGAGAAATAGACAATTCTGTGGTAGTAGTTGAAGAATTCAATACCTACTCTCAGTAATGAATGCAAACATCAGACAGAAGTAAGGAAACAGAGGACTGGAGATAGAGTAAACCAGCCAGATCTGCAGCCTGTGCAGGGCACCTCGTACCATCGGGATACACATTCTTTCAAGTGCACATGGATCATTTTCTAGGACAGATCATGTATCAGGTCACCGTTTTTCAGTAGGTTTTCAAAGATAATCTATGAAATGTCTTCTCTGTGGTCAATTAAAGTTAGAAATCAGTAGAATGAAGCTGGACTGTTAAATGGTTTGTGAAAATTAAACCCAACAGACCAAAAAGAAGGCAACAAGGAAATTAGAAAATACTTAGAAATGAACAAAAATGACATATTATTAAACTTACAAACACATTTTAAAAACACACCAACCAAACTTACAGCACAAAGAACTAGAAAAAGAACTAACTTCCATGAAATTAGCATAAATAACAAAACAGAAGGTTTGGGCAGAGAGAAAACAGATAGTAGAGAAATAAGAGTAGTAAAAATTGGTTTCTTGACAATATCAGTATAATTGACAATCATAGATTACTAAAACCAGAAATGCAGATGAAGCTGTTACTGCTCAGTCCGTTAAAATAAGGATTATGGGATCATATATAACTGTGTGCCAATGATGAAATAGAACTGTCTAAAAACACAGAGCCTACGAAGTTTAAACTGTGCAGAAACAGAAACCCCAATAGATCTGTATCTACTGGCTTAGTCCCTGCAGCCAAGACACAGTAACAGCCAAGCTGTTTACTGCAGAATGGATGGAAAGAAAAATGGGCGTGTGTACTCAGTAGGCTACTAGTCAACCTCAAGAAGGAAGGGAATGTTGACAACTTGGAGGACCCTTGAATACATGATATCATGCTAAATAAAATAAACCAGTCTCTCTCTCTCTCTCTCTCTCTCTCTCTCTCTCTCTCTTTCTCTCTCTCTCTCTCAGAGAACAAGAGTGAGCAAGCAAGTGAGAGAGATAGGAACTCCTCTTAATGTGAAGTATCTACAATAGTCAAGGCAATGAGATGGGAAATAAGATGGTGTGGAGAGCATAATAAGGCTTACTGCGCACCAAGTCAGTTTCAGAGTGCTCATTTGAGACAGAATCTCATTCTTAGCCCAGGCTGGTCTAGAACTCACTATGAAGCCCAGATTGGCCTTGGATTTGTGCTTGGTATTTTCAGTTTTGCATGATGCAGAGTTCAGAGGTGGATGGTGGTTGGGGGTGGTTGTCCAACTTAGTACTCAGTGCTACACTTAAAGATGGTTACAGTGGTAAACTTCATAGAAAATAAACCTGTAAGAACACAAAAATGGCTGCATGTGGTGGTGCATGCCTATAATGTCAGCACTTGGGAAGCTGTGTGTCTTAGGGCTTCTATTTCTGTGAAGAAACACCGTGACCACAGCAACTTTTATAAAGGGAAACATTTAATTGGGGTGACTTAGAATTTCA